TGTCTCAAGCAACAATGGAAATGAATAAAATAAACAAAGGAACTAATGGCTAGGGTTAAAATACTAAAAAGTGACAATTTCTGAGGCTGGTGGTTGGATTTGCACTGGAGTTTGAACCTAGGATCTTCTCACTGAGTTATATCCCCAGCCTTTAGCCCAGCTTTCTCATTTCCTCTCCTGGCCTCGCCCAGACTGCTGGGATTGCAGGCAGGTACCACTGTATCTGCCAGTCTGTTTTCTTGCATTTTCCACTTAGGTAAGGTCAACCCATTAACTAGCTGCAGCTCCCCTACAGAAGTCTGCAGCAGTCCTCCACTCCCAGAAGCTGCAAAGGAAGCACTTTCACCAGGATCAAGTAGCACCTCCAAAGCATTCTCCATGTTCTTTCTTGGTCCCTCCTCTTTAACATGAAGGATTCATCTCATTTCTTTCACAATTATATTAAGAATTCTTTTTTTCTTAGCTTTTTTTAATGTTAAATAAATTTTATTAATATCTTAGAGTTCTGAAATTTTCTTCTACATATCCAGCTGGTTCTCTAGTCAAGGGTTGTTTCTTAGCTTTTTGAGACAGGGTCTGGGTATGAAGTCCAGGCTAACTTTAAACTCACTTTGTACCAGCTCAGGCTGGTCTTGAACTCCAACAATCCATCCTTCTGCCTCAACCTCTTCAGAGATGGCATTACAGGCATATGCCGCTGCCCCAGCTACGAATTCTTACTCTTTGACTAAGTACTGGAATGACAAGATAATCCACCGTATGTTTAATTGTAAATCATTTTCATTGCTGCGTAATGTTCTGTTATTGTGAATAATTACAATGTATTGGGACATTCTACTGATGATGACATTGTAATTGTTTTCAGTGGGGACAGCTGTGAAGTGTGCTGTCCTTTTCTAGTTAGTATGGGACTACTCGTGGAATTTCTGGATTATGGATATATGCACACTTTTAGCTTCTATTAATACTAATATTTCCCAAAGGAGTTACCTTTTTGTATTTAAGGTTATTTTAACTTTTTTTTAAAATTTGAGGCAGAGGGGCTGGAGGGATGGCTCAGTGGTCTAAAGCACCTACTTACAACAAGTTTAGCAAAGCACAGGGACCACAGTTCAATCCCCCAGCACCACA